GGGAAGTCTGGTGGCGTACCTGCGCAAATTGTAAGACCTTTTTTGTAATATGAGTCAATTTTGTGGCATACATATGCTTATCCTTATGCGACTTGTATTTTAGAAATCTGGCAGTGGAGTTAAGTGCCGGGTGTGCAGTTAACGATAACACGGATCACAACCAAATGACGAGCATTTTCGGGATTAATGTGGAACTCTCCGAACTGGGTCGAACCGCTCCTACCACGGTGGGTTAGTGCACTGCTCTTTTAACTCAATGTGTGCGGTTGGCGTCGGAATTTGTGTAAATATGCGAGATCTTAATCGGAAACCTAATTTTGCAGACATTCGATTTTGATCAAATCGTGCTGATGATTCTGCTTTTGGGATATCTTGTTACAACTATTGTCTTTTATCTGTTTTTTTACCTTTTTTAGTTTCGTAGTAGTAAATGCTCTATAAAATTTCTCTGGAGTGTATTGTTTTGAGTTTCGACCTTTCTATTTGATGGTTCGGACACAGGAGGAATGTCCACTCCTTCTGGATGTATTGCTTGTAAGTAGGTATATTTGAAGAATGGAGACTGATATTTTTTGGACTGTCACAAGGTTTTTTTAGTCGCACTGAATCGCCATCTTTCTATTTTGCCCAAGTTTTTGTAGAACGCCTTGGAATCGGGTCCGTTTTGATTCTTGGAATGACGTTACAAATATATGCACGCAAAGATGAGGCCTTTGAGTACTTTGATGATGTTAGCATTCGATTGAACCCTATTGCCGTTGTATTGCATACTTGTTGGGTGTAGTGATATTGCTGATATTATTGGGATTTGCTGGCTCTATCTGCTCAATGGGCTACTTCACTGTCGTTTCTCAAGGTGGCCGATCACGTTTTCTCGTATCTACGCATGCTTCGGGACGCCGCAAATTTCAGTTTGGCCAACCCTTTGGCCACCTCGACACCGTGGAATGATCGCACCTTCGCGTCTCTCGTGCCTGAGTTTGAGAAACTGTGGGCGTCGAATTTTCGTTTCCAGGAGCCTCTGGAGCCCTCTACCAACGTGCAAACGATTGCCACGGGAATGCGAAAGTTTCCGCCTCATGAGGTTTTCATCGCAGAATCGCTGATTCTGGAACCAGATCTGAAGGTACGACTCATTCCAATGTCGATTGTCAAGCCAAGCTCCTTTTCATTGTGCTTTGTGAGAATCTAAGCTCAACGTTTGCCAATTTGGTGATTCATTAATTTACAACCGGGACTCCGATTTGAATGCGATGTTGATTTGTCGCTTGCACACCTTGTGGTCGTGGTTTGCCTGCCAAATTGAACAATGTGTATGGATGCTGTCAGTTCGTTGTGATACGATGTAGGACGAATGCGGTGGTGGCGAAACGGTGTTCCATGTGGAGGGAGTGCTTACTTTGGCTGGGCTGTGGGTGATGGGTGTAGAAAGTTGGGTTGGTTGGGGGGGTGGACGAACGTCTTGAAGTCGTTGATGCTGGAGACTGAGCTTGTATGTTAACTTGTGGATGGAGCAACGTAGGTTTATTACTGTGCATCTCTATGGCAGGTTTAGTATCCATTTCCACTATGTTTTTTGAGTCTTTTTCCTACTTACAAGTTTTTGATCCGTTTTGTTGACTAATCTTGCTAGCCCACATGGAAATTGGCAGTGAGAGGAATGAGTTTGTTGAAGGTGCAAGCACTGATGACATCGATAAAATGTAACTTATCTCCACAGCTGTGATGAATTTGCTTTTGGTACTTTGGTGGTGGCCATGCTGCTCGTGATTTATCATGCTTCCATAGTTCTCCATCAGGATGTACTGAAGGCTAAACGATCGCTGTAGCATGCAAAAGTTGTGCTCATTTTACAATGATGCCACTCGGACCTTCACCACGTGCTGCACTTATGTCAATTGTTTGGGTTCAGCCCACCATTTGGCCTTGTATCACTAGCAGTGGATCTTTTTCTTACTTGTATGCGTCTAGGCAGCAGTGATGTTGCGTTGGTGGGCGTAGTGTCAAATCAACTTGTCTGGTGCATTTGCATTTTTAAGACCATTGGCGATTCTTGGCTGGGTCTAACCGCCCTTCCGTCTCATTGCCAGAATTCGAGACATCTCTAAAGCCTGACTTTACTTCATTTTTTTCCTTGCGATTTTTTGGTTCATTCTTGACGGACATTACTTCGTTTCTGATTGTAAGAAGTAGTTACGGGAAGAGATGCCCACCTTAGACCTTCAGTTTCCTTACTGTAATTTTTATCAAAACGGACCCAATTACTCCATGATACATCAAGCGAAAGGCTAGTTCGGAGGGTGTTTAAAGTGGTTGTGCAGTTTTGAGTGGGATTAATTGCTTGGTTTTTTGGGCTGTTGACTCTATTTTCTTTTTGTGAACTTCGAGTTCGGCCCAAAAACCCAATAGGATGCATACATAGGGACTGTTCCAGGGGGGTTGCGATTCCGATGGTGCGTGAAGAGTTTTCATTACTGGTGAGTAGAGTGAATGTGTGGGGAAGAGGAGGGAATGCAGACGCAGTGCCTTAGATGATGGAGGCAGAGCACAATCTATTGCTGAAATCAGCCTACCTGGTAGAGCTCGGGAAAGAGCTTAAAGATTTTCTTTGCACAATTAGAGGGAAAATTACTTTGGGAGTTAAAATCATGGTTTCACGGCATCTTTTTAACGGGTTGTGTGGAAAAACGCAATTTTTAGAAGCGGCTTTGTTTGAAAGAGAGGAGGAAGAATTGATAAATCCATTGTGTTCCATGAAAGTTGATTTTAATCGGCCTTTTGTATTCTTGAAACATCACATGTTAGGGACTTTAATGAGGAGGTATAAATTTGATGGAGGACGAGGTGATCGTGGCCAGCCTCTCACTTTCGGAGGTTTGGGTGACTTATAAAAAAGGAACTGACGCATGTCATCATGTTGTTCGGCGTTTCACTGGACTACGGACCTGGGAAGTAACGTAGACAGAGTGTTGCCCTGACCGTTCATCAAAATCGGGATTACTTGCTCGAGGAGGTGGGCGCTGCATACAGCTTAAAGTATGCTTATGAC